AGAAGACTTGTAGGTTGAGATAAAGGCAGTTTAATCGGTAAAGCAAAAGCTGCACGCGCAAGCAAAGTAAAACAAGGAATCCATTCACTCCTTCCCATCGGCAGGCAGGTGTTCAGCTATCCCCAGGAAGGCAGGGTGCCATCACGCCTAACGGTGACATACGCCATCACTCCAAACGTCCCCCCCTTCCTCCTTTTTACCCCAGCTTTATATACTGAGCATGACATCATGTGGTGTGGGATATCCCTTGAGTCAGTTGGGGTCAGCTGTCCCGGCTGTGACCCCTCCCAGCTTCTTGTGCACCCCCAGCCTGCTCGCTGGTGGGGTGGGGTGAGAAACAGAAAAGGCCTTGACTGTGTGTAAGCACTGCTCAGCAGTAACGAAAACATCCCTGTGTTGTCAACGTTGTTTTCAGCACAAATTCAAAACATAGCCCCATACTAGCTACTGTGAAGAAAATTAACTCTATCCCAGATGAATCCAGAACACAGACTTTGTGCTCTTCCTTCTTTTGACTTCCTTCTCTTTTAGCATGGTTTTTGAATTCGTAGTTCTCTTTAGTCGAGTAATTCCAGCTACTGTAAAAGCTACTCCCCCTTTTTGTGCATCTTAAAATTCTGGTAAATGTACTAGATGTTTAGAACACGTACTATTTGCAATTTTTTTTCATGAAAAATTAAGATTAGATCATATTGAATTGTATTATATTAAAGGTGTTGCTATTTTTTGTATCCTGTAATCACTGTAGTGGGAATTGGATGTATAGCTGGTTAGATAAGGCAATATTTTATGGAAGTTGAACTGCACTGAATGTATTTGGAATCATTATGTTATGACTAAAAAGAGAATACATATAGTTACATGCTGATATCATGTCTACTTCATGTACAGATCATATAAATTACTCTTCCAAATATAGGAAATTATGGTAGAGTGAGTATAAGGACTCCAATTTTAGTTAATAATAATAAAAATTGCATCCTTTTCTGCGTTTTCTGGTGTCCAATCCTCTAGCTGATTTAGGCACTTCTGTCTCTTATGAAAATAACTGGCCTAGATGGTAAACGGTCTGAATGAAAATTGTGATAACTCCTCATGCAATGTTGCCAGTTTGAATTAAGGAATTGTTTTCCTTGAACTTCTAGTGTTTCTTCTAAGAAGAGGTCTGATCCTTGAATGAAACCAGCAGACCTTATCAAAGCATAAGATTACAGTGCTGATGACAGGAGAACATGGAAATTATTCTTCTAATAAACTGTATGAATTTGAAGTGTTTGAAGTGTATAGTAGTATCTAGGATTTGAAAATTCCACTGATCTGTTTTGAGTGTGAAACATATGCAGGTAACTTAAAACATTTGCTGGAGACTAGGTTTTCATTTAAAAAAAAAAAAATTGCAAAAGTAGTGTGTAAATGTCTTTTGTGCAGAAACTAGTTCAGAAGTATCACCTCTACTTTCCTGAAAACAAAACCAATGAGACAAACAAAAAAACCTTCTAGGTACATCAAAACCATATCTTTTTGTCTACTCCTTTGCTCTGTGGAGAGTGATGAGAATACCACAAGCAAGTTTCTGTTCATTTCTTGGAAAAACTGAAAACAGGGAAGCAAAAGTGGGAGTTATCAGTGAGCAGCGGATTGAGCAGGATGAACTGATTCTGCTCTCCTAACCAGGAAGTTAAGGGAAGAAAAGAAACTATTTCTCTCTGGTACGACACTTTCAAGAGAAAAAACCAAACCAACACTTTTCTCTTAAAGCATGTATGGAATAAGGGAGCAATGTAAAGGCTTAAAATGTATCATGCTTCTAGTGGCTTGGGGCTGATACACATTGGAAAGAAAAGATCCAAGGAGAAATATCCTGGTGGGAATTCGAGTAGCTAGAAATGTGGGGGGGGGTTAATCGGGGTGGTTCCTGTAGGTAATAATTGTCCTTCCATCTTTTATATCAAATTCTGATGTGTAGATTCAATCTTTTGTGTAATAGGTGTTGGGAGTAGCTTACAAGGTTTTATGTGAAGAGCTAAGATTAATGCGTTAATTTAGAAATGCAAGCTTGATTGTGTAAAAGAGATTTTGAAATAGGAAAGAAGATGAGAACAAACAAGTGACAAGATAGAGAACAGATTGTAGGAAAAGGGGGAGGGAGAAAAGTGTATAGAATGTGAGAGACAGATATGTGTAAATACATTAAAACACGGTAGGAAAAGGTCTACTTTAGAAAAACAAGTATAAAAAAGGCAAATGTGATAAAGCAGTAAGGCAGTAAGAAAGGCTTAATTAAAATTATAAAAATACATACTATAAAGATATTTAAAACAAAAAAGATGGCAATTTCCTATAAATACAGTACAAAATAAATATTGCATAGCTTTGTTGTTTTGTTAAAACAGAACTTTTCTACTGAAACTTTCTGCAGTGGGAAATACTGATTTTTGACAGAAGCAGTCATCTGATGTGTGAGAGACTGAAGTTCAAGTCCCTCCTCTGAGAATGAGGGACTATTCCAATTTTAATGATAATACCACACTGAAGCTATTCCATTTTTTAATAAATAAATAAATGTAAATTATATAAATACATAAATGTAAATTAGAAGAGGAATTTTAATTTCTCTTCCACATTTTGCGTAAATGTCTCATCCGCTGTCCGTAGAGTCAGGCTCTTCTCAGATCAGTTATGATGTAGTCATATATACAATGACTGAAGGAGCACCAGGAGGAGATGGTGAGAGACAGAGGTAAATTCTTTAATTCAGTGATGAGGGCATTTACTGGGGCTGTCAAGAATTATGGATTTACGTTCCTGGTTTCATTTAGGTAGTTCAGGGACTCCCATGTTCCTTATGAGGACCTCGGTCACCAGGCTCTTAAGGAGGAGGAGGTTGTGAGGAGGTATGCTTCTCTGGTTCATTGTTGGGTGGTAACAACATGGATGGTAACCTAAAGATTTGTTTAGGAGATGCACAAGTGATACCAGTGATATAGGGGAACAAGCAAGAAGGGGTGCAAGAGTTGGCTACTACTCCATGCAAGAGTGTTCCTTCTGAAGTGGTTGGAGAAGCAGATTCTGTGCTTTAAAGTCTGCTGTGTGTTAGGTAAGGAGAAGCTGATGTTGATGTACTTATGGAGGAGGTTTGTTCCTTGGCGAAACGGGAGCTCAGCTTACCTAAGTTTGGACATTGAGAAGAATTTTGGAGTACTCTTGTCTTGATACTTTCCTCTAGGGAATAAAGAGGACATCAGCTTACTGCACTAGTATAATGAAACTGTTGGATGCTTTCTGCATCTTTGGAAATTCAGTACATTTGTTACCTAAGATAGCTGT